TGTTCCTTTTCCAGGAAAGCTTCCAGTCCAGAATGATTCCTAAATATTTAGTTTCCTTAGCAAGTACAAGTGTCTTCCCTTCCAGCTTTGGTAGCGTGAACTTGGGTATCTTGAATTTTCTTGTAAACAGAGTGAGTTCAGTTTTGTCTGGGTTGATGCCCAAACCATTCCTTTTTGCCGGCAAACTGCTAACAACCGAAAACACCCTTATATTGTGTAAGAGACACCTACTACTATATTATTATGTTTTGTATTACCGGGATTGATATAATAAAATACTTGTAACATATTTGTTGCTTTGTAGGACAAAATGTATATAAATAAGAGTTGATTTTTTTATTCATTGTTAATTCAATGATTAATATAATAATTATTTACTAAACAAACTGAAGAGAAATGATTAAATATTTAACGACTATTATTGTACTACGTAGCCGAGTACAATAAATTTAAAATAAATTAATGCTGGCGTATATAGTTAAATATTTCTCCAAAATTGTTGTATTCCCTCTTGAATTCAAAATATTTAAGAACTGTACATAGTTCTTATAAAGGGTGGGTCTTAAGTGAGTTCAAATATTTTTAGGGTATTATAAATTTCTTAAAATTTGAAGTTATTTTATTTTTTTTTTAATTTTTAGTTAAAAAACATACTTTATTGGTAATATGGCAACATAGGTAGTAGATTAAATTTACAAGGAAGAAAATCCAGAAAAGATCCAGTGCTTCTCAAAATTTCAGGAAAAAATATTTTTTTCTTGGAAATTTTAGAAATGAAATAACTCGGTTATTTTGGATTTATTTGAAAAACGGTAAAGAGAAAATATGTTTCTTTTATCGAGATCTACCAGCTCTGAAAATATTTGCACTTATTTAAGACTCACCCTGTATAGATTAGTGTTTATCGGATGAAAATTTGATAGAGAAGCAGCGTCCCAAAGGTAAAGTCCGCGACTTGGCCTGTGACAGAAAGGCTTAGCCTGGCAAAGATTTGGGCTGGCTCACAAACGCAAAGGTTTCATCCGAAGGCCGGGACCGAAGACCCTATTTCCATAGGTATAAAAGTGAAAATTTATCGAAGTAAAATTTATCAAATATACAAAGTTTAGTTAAAAGCATAAATTTTGTTCTACAATAGAAATTTGTTATTTTCACTCAAATATATTTACAATAATGTTTACTCGTTAATAATTCTATATATCTTCTTTTATAATGTTATACAGAAAATTATTATAACGATAAAATAAATAACAATAATTTGGATTATAAACCTATACGTTAAAAACGCAACGATGAATAATTTAATGGAACATTGGAATTTACGGTTTACTACATCCCAAAAACGTCGGAAATCTATGTAATATTTCAATAGTTAGATGCCGGATTTTGCAAAAAGCAAGCAAGAAACATTTTATGGAGTTTGAACTCCTGCTGTCGGAATATGAAAATAAAAACTAAGATATTCATATAACCAAGAACATGGTGAATAAATACATCTGCCAAATGTTAAGATATAGTTCTAATTTAGATATTATTATTCTAATTTATCGTATGTTATGCGTTAAGCTTCATTCAGAACCTCGCAATTAGTGGACAAAATTAGTGGTTTCAATTACACTTTAAGCTTCATTCAGAAATTCGCAATTAGTGGAATAAATTAGTGGTTTCAATTAAACTTTATACTTTTTAGTCTACGATCATTCACAATGTCTAAAAAACACAATTAAAATTAATAAAATATCCTAGCAACAGTCTGCGGTAGTCAGTTGTATCCATAGAGAAAGCCTAATATTTAGCTTATAAAACAATACATTTTGATTTTTAACCACAATTTCTCTTGACGGATGATAATTAAAGGCCAAAATGACATTTTTTGCAACTTCTGAATTATAATTAGTCAAAAAATTAAAAGTTTCTTGACTTTTTCCACTAATTGAAGATTACTACCACTAATTTTGACGTTGTGAATGCTTACATTGATATTAGAGGAACAAATTTCTACGCTAATTGAAACCATTGACTTATTCCACTAATTTTGAAGTTCTGAATGAAGCTTTATTCACAAATACAAATAATTTTGGCTTGCTAAATAACTGTATTTAAAGGAAGCATTATTTAGAAAATATAATTTGTTTCCAAGCATATCAATTCCTTATCCATAGGCTACTTCAAGATATTGCTTAGAACGAATTGTCGCCATAAAAAAACTGATTTAACAATTTTTGTTATCGTTTATTTATGTCATAAACATATCGCGTTTTTCTGTTGGTTTATTAGTAAAGCGTCATATAGCTATACGTTTTTGCTTTATATGCATAAAATGTATTTAGTAGAAAGAAGAAAAATGAATTTCTGCAGCTAGTTTTGAAAATAAAAACATGTAATTAACATAAATAAAAATATAAGGGTTCTATTTAAAAAAATATATAATCCGTTGTTTAACCATAGTAAATTTTTGTTATTTTTAATATAAAATTCAGTTGAAGTGATTAAAAAGTACTCCCTCAATACAAAAAGAGATGCAACGAAGTTGCAATTAAGGAATAAATAATAAATCAAATTCAGTACAAATTTCACTGGTTTGAAAAGACGCGTAGAAAATTGTGACGTCACCTATCTGTATTTGACTGAATAGTTCACAGAGGGCGCGAGCCTCTGAAGAATAATATTATGGCGTGTCTAGTTCTCTGCTACCGTATTTACACCATATATCTTAAAATCATGTTAGATTTTTCTGTTTGTATTAAGATCGTTAAAAAATACGTTTTTATGTGGGATTATTTTTTATTACCCCAATATTAAATTTACTTTTATATTTTTTACTACTAGAAATTAAAACTTAAATTTTTATAATTAACAGGTTACTGCCATTTTTATCGAAGCACTAAACACTACCAAAATTGTTTGAATGTTCGAGGCGTTCGGGGGTTCGAGGTTTGGTTTGGTTTGGTGGATTTGTGGATTTTGTGGATTTTGCGTTTGGCGTTAAATACTTTGAGTTTTCAATTTTGTTTTATTGTACCCTGTTTATTATTCTTGTATTGAAGGATGTTAAAGTTTGTTTTGTGAAGGGCTGTCTAAATAACTCTGAAGGCTCTCCAGAAAAAGTTGTTATAACTGAGCCTGATTTGAAGCGGCAAGACAACAATATGTCAGCAAAAGTACGAGATTTTACTGTGAAGATCATTTTAACGTAAGTTCCTTAAGTTATATTTTACAATTAATTTTATATCTACTTTAAAATACATTTAGAAAAATGGTTTTTATTTACCTTTGTACCTGGTAGCAAACCGTGACACTTTTAATAGGTGATGTCAGAGATTGCAAAAGTGTAAATTTGAAATTCTTAATATTGATTAATTTAAAAAAAATGGGTAAAGTAGAATAAAAAAAATACGGGTGTCATAAAATTGTATGAAGATTAATTATTTGCAGTAAAAAACTATGGTGAAACTCCGGATTATATTTGCCTTATAACTGAAAAAGTAACTTTTTTAATAATTTAAGAGACAAACATTATAAAGTCCGTTGTTCCAATAGTGCCACTTTTTAATTTTACCCTGTATCTCAGGAACAAAGAAGGCTTTGAAAATTTTGTTGGTAGAATCATTAGTTGCACAAAAGTTGGCACAGTGTCACGGAAACCGCAACCCTATCTTTACAAATAGGTGAGATACTATTGAGAAGTGTCGAAAAATGGACACTCTTTATGTTATGTATCTTTATCATCATAATTTCCAGCTTATTCAAGCATTTCCAATTATGGTGTAGACTCCCTTGGTACTCTCTTTGCAGGTTGGGCCCATTGTTGTCTATTTTTGGCTATGCGGGCGTAAATTATCCTAATTTCTTAACATCATTGTCCCATCTCAGGTTCGGTCTTCTTCTAGGTTTCTTAATTCCTTGTGGGTACCATGCTGTAATTTTTGTGGCTTATCTGTTATCCGTCCTTCTTGCCAGGTGTCCAGGTGTCCATTGCCACTTGAGAGATTTGACTCTGTGGATGACATATATTACTTGGGTCTTTTGTCGTATCCACTCTATTCTTTTACGGTCTCTCTTGGTATTCCCAGCATATTTCGTTGCATTGAGCGTTGTGCGACCTGCAGTTTCCTTATGATGTCCGTTTCAAGTGTCGAGGTGGTCGAATGTTTTCTTCTTTAGATACAGTGCCATTATAGATCTGAGTATGATTGAGTTTCTTTCATAAGTGCCAACTTAATTCTTCTGTTGATTGTCTGGATTTCTGGTAGTAGAAATCCCGAGCTGTATATTAGTTGTCCCAAATATATGTATTAGAAATATTTAAAAATACGTGACTGTATAGAAGTTGAGAGACGTTCTATGATGATCAGTTCTTGGATTATGGATTTATTGGTTCGTCGGGTAGTCCAGGAAATTCTGAGCATTATGTCGCCAGGAGTACATCTCAGTTGTGTCAATTTCTTTTATTCCTGTCTTATAACATAATTAAATAATAAAAATTTTAAGAAGAAAATTAGAAATATGATATTTAAGAAGATTATATAAACGTAGACGACATAGACCAACATATAAAAAAAACAATGCCTTTGATGCATCTGCCTAGAGAGAATCTTAAAAGTCTTCAAACTGTTGTCAATGCCTACTAAATAATATTATTAAAATGTTAAATATTTTACACAGTTGTATATTGGTTCATAGTTAAATATATAAATAGTAATCTTGCTAAACCACTTATTTACCTTCTTGCTGCATCTTGACAATCTATTATGTTATCTAGCAAAACGTCACCAACATACTGCTAAATTGTAATACATAGAGAACAAATGCAGCTTTCTACTACCGATTTTCCACTGCAGATTGGCCTCAAGAAATGGCTGCGTAAGTTGCCGGCTTTATAGTAAAATTATTGTCATTTTTTTGTTAACATTTTGTTTTCAATATAATTACTTCGTCGACAATATTTGTGAATGATAATGAACAAATTACATATAATTTTTTTATGTAGGTTAGCTTACCGTTTCTATCGCTTTTTCCAATCGAAATATTTCTTCTTGTAGCAAATGCAGAGTCCCTGTTTTTCCTCTGTGCCGAGCAAATGCAGCTGCACATGCACTATGGATACTGTTGACCCAATTTTCTAGTTCAATCTGTAAAATAAAAAAATATGTTAATTTGAGGTAGTTATAATTTACTATTTAACAGCTTTTGTAATACAAATATCTACAGGACAATAATTTGAATCGGAGCAATAAGAAATATATCTGAAAATATGATCTGAACTGGTGGTGATTTGGCATGCAGATCAAATAGTTGGGTGTAGGGCCCCTTTTCTCAAATATACCGGGTGTTTCAAAAAACCTATGCCATCTCTCGTGGAGAGATTCCTCACGTAAAAATAAGGTTTATTATTCATATCAACATAGGTTCAATACTTCTTTGTTTAGTATCTACAGTGTGTTAAAGTCATAATATTTTTTCGATTTATTATAATGTTCTTCCAAGTACTTTTAGCGTTTCGAATGAAATTTTGAGGTTAAAAGTTACTATAAATGCGACATATTTTAAAGCTAAAAAAGTTATCTTTGGAATATTTTTCTAAAAAAAGCATGAACGCTACTGACTTTTTTTTCTCTTGTTAGCGAAATAGTGTAAGCAGTTTAATGTTGATTAAAAGTTGGCTCCTGATATTTTGTCGATTTCGGCCTCCTTGATGAGATAAACTTTTATTAATTCGCCTTGATCTAAATCTGACAGGTGCCGTTCTAATTTATTATTTAATATATAGCAACCTCTTTAAAAAACTTAATATCATTTACTTGCCAAAGGTTTAAATAAGTACTCATTTATTCCTCATCAAAAAATATGAAAAAAGTTCCTAGAAACATGGATATGGAAATGCATAGTTTTAGAGTTACAGGATATTAAAACTTTTTAAAATTAGGTTTTTTGTAATTATCTTAAATACCATTATTTTTTTATTTCAAATTGCCGTAGGTTGGACTAATAGTAATAATAACTAATAGTAAAAATATTTAATAATAAATTAGGTAAAATATATAAGTTAATAATTTTATTTTTATTTTAATTTTACTAATTGTGATTAATAAAATTGCGAGTATTTTATCAAGAAGGCCGAATTCTATAAAATATCAAGAGGTAAAAAATGTGCATTTTTAAAAAATCGCTGTAACATTTTTGCTATGGACAATTTGTATTTTTATGAAAATATTTCCAAAGCACCTTTTGACGTTGAATTTAATGGTTTAAGTATAATTAGTTAATTAACTGAAAAGAACTTAAAGTTACCTTTCCAAAAATATAGCACACTTGATATTTTGTTATAGTCCACTTCGAAATACAAAAATTTTAAAAGTTCGCCACTTTTAACTAGTAGGCTTTGGACCCCTTATTGATGATCTGTCCCTAATGGAACTCGAAAACATATTTTTCCAGAAAGACGAGGCACCGCCTCATAACGCTGAAGTTTTTGCAGCCAATTTTGATAATAATTGAATAGCTAACCAGATCCCAGCCATTGGCCGTCGAGGCCGCCGGACTTAGTGCCTAGGGATTTTTATTTTTGCGGTAGAATAAAAGTTTTTATTTTTAAATTCCCTATATATAATGTAGACAAGAATTAGAAATACTTAGCGGTTATGCGATGGTATCTTTCACCCCCAGTGAGTTAATGAATTCCGCGAGAAATGTTCAAAATCGGTCCCGTCCCTCCATAACAGAAGACTATACAGGTTGTTAATTTGTTTAATACTCGCGGCAAGAGCTTTATGGTTGAAATACGGAAACCTCGGCCCGCTCGTCGATAGACGACGCGACGGGACGAGTCGGCAGAAAACCCTATAAGTGCATGCGTTCTCAATAGGCAGTGTTGCCATTCTGTTCCCCTATAAGTAACTGTCCAGTTAACAATCTGTATAAAGTCGGTAAGTCGAACACCTGTAGCAAAATCTCATCTGTTGGTTAGCTATTTGTTTTTATTGTGATTAGATGTAGTTTTAATGTGTTGATGTTATTAAATACAGTTTAAATTGTTAAAAAATTCTGCATCTCTCATTGCAAATATTATTTTCGTTTTAATTGCTGTTGACAGCTAGATTTTTTTTGCATTATAGCCGGCGCCGTTCAAAGCCTTCTTACTCAAAGTGGACGAATTTTTATAAACTCTATATCTCGAAGTGGAATTGAGCAGAATATCAAGTGTGCTCTATTTTTGGAAATGTAATTTTAATTTTTTAATGAATTAAAAATATACAGGGTGTCCCAAATAAAAAATCTACCCCCACTTCGTAATTCCGAAACGGTAACAGATGCGGTTTTCACCATCACGTTTTTGATAAAAATTGAGCTCCAGATACCGATGTCAGTTTTCGTCTATCTTCTATAGAAAAGGGTGCTTCTTTTTAAAAGCGTCGAATTGGACCCACCCTGTACATGATGTTTCCAGGTGACGAATTGAATCAATTAAATATTATTGTCGTAGGATTTACAGGAAGCAACTCTTTAAAAATATTGTAAACGCGTTAAGAATTTTATAAATCGTCCAAGGCATAGAATTTTTAACAAAGAATAACGAAAATTACCTGACACGGTGCTTGGAATAGATAAGCGTCACCGAACGCTGTGCTCAGACAGAAAATAAAGTCTCGTTTGGGGTGTTCGGGGATGGGCTGCATAATGGCCCCATCCACGATAATGAGGTGTTTGGGGGCAGCCTCCACACTCCTGCCCTCCCTCGAGTCGCACGGGTAAAATAACAGCGTGGTGCCCTTCAAGCACACCCAGTAGCCCTTCCAACCGCGTTTACGGGCCAGTTCGATTTGATGTTTCTTGCGTAGGAGCCACTTCTTTACGCTCAGGAATCTGTAAAGAAAATAACAAAATTAGTGTATGGTATTTAGCACTGTAAATGGAATGGGATAATTCAAATTAAATATCATTCATAATTCGATTACGAAACTAATTATCATGATCCAATTATACAGAGTGGTCCGAAATGTATTTCGGAAACTTCGGCAGAATATTTAGAATATAATTTGGATGAAAATTGGTGTCTGGGAGTACTTTGTTAAGAGAAATTTGATTTTGATATAACTCCTATTTGTAAGGGGCGCCACCTACATGTGTTTTAATTGTTTTGAAAAGTAATAACTTTTAGTCCGTACTTTTATAAAACTATTGAGTGAAAAAATATAGATTTCCGTAATTTTTTACGGAAAAATGTCCCTTTTAAAAATTGTTACGAACAACCATTCTGAAGATATGTAGAATGGAAATAGTCAATACATGTCATTATTCACTAAAAATAGACATATTGGTTAGATAGTTATTTGAGTAAAATTATAAATTTGAGAACTTTTTATTATTTTAAATTAATTACAAATTTTTCATGGAAAAAATGATGATAAAACAGTTTCTGTTGAACTTTTGGCACAAAAACATTTCAAATTTATGATTTCAGTCCAATAACTATTTAGTTAACGTGTTTAATTTACGTCAATGGTGACAGGTATTGATAATTTTGATTCTAAATATCTCGATAACATTTACCCGTAGTAATTTTTACCAAGGTACCTTTTTTTACGTAAAAAACGTCGTAAATGCATATTTTTTTACTCAGTAGTTTTATACAGGTACGGACGAAAAGTTATTACTCTTCAAACCCGTTAAAAAACATGTAGGGGGCGCCCTCTACAAGTAGGAGTAAAATCAACATCAAATTTCTCATGCCAAAAAACTCCCAGACACAAATTTTTATCCAAATATTGACGTTATTTCAGAAATTATTTGGAAAAAATCGAAATAATAATGAAACTTCTATACCCTGTATCTCCGAAACGTAAAAAAAACCATTTTAGGACATACATTTATATATTTCTTTTACTTATTTTTATCTGCAGAACATGCCGCCGAAGATTCCGTAATACAGTTCGGACCACACTGTACAAAAAAACAATTCGAATTTTCTTAATGATGAAATTCTTTAACGATTCCTATGATTCACAAACACAAGTAGTCGATTTTTCGGAGTAATCTGTTTCTTTGTTGTTGCCAAAAAAAATAAAAGAGAGTGAGAAAGACAAACAAACCTTATTCGTCTTGAGATAATTCGAGTGTTTTGCCTTGTTTTAACTTACGAGGTGATAATGACACTGCCAATACTGCCAATTCGAATTACAAATAAGAAATGAGTGATGATGGCTGGGATAAGTCTAAAAAAAATCCCAAAAACAATTAACCGAAAAGAAAATTACCCGAAAAGATAGTTACTCGAAAAGAAATATCATCGAATTACAGTTATTGACAGAAATTAAGTTGTTGATTTTTTTGTGAAAGTTTGGTTCAATACAGGACAAGCAACAATTTTATTAGTCCTTTAATTTTTTAAATAAGATACATAAGGTTGAATTTAATATAACAAAGATTTCAGCAATTTCATAACAAATAAAAATAAATATTTTTTTTTTGTTCTGCCTGTGTAATATGCAATCACTTTTTAGATTTAGAGATATTGAATATATCGACCTTTGTTAACTTATAACCCAACATTTAACTTTTAAAATGTTTAATTCATGACTTTACCATTGTTTATTCAAGATCTCCCAATTTCACAGATGTTTAATTTTTTATTTTAGAAACTATTAGGGATAGATTTAGGTTAATATAAAAGAAACATTATGAGATATGAAAGCAGTTTCCAAAATTTTATAATATACCGGGGGTTCTATTTTAATGCTACCTATTACTTTTCAAATGATGTTCAAATTATTAATTTCAGATGAAAATAATTTAGACAGATATGGAGCAGGTGCCTTTATGTAATAATCCAAATTTTCAAAAAAAATTATCACACTTTCTCTATAAACCTCTAACGTACCATCGCTAGATTTAAATGAAATGCCCTGAACCTTACCCTGAACTTTAGTCTCTTTATGTAAAGCTAATATTATGGAACTAAGTTAATCTATACGTATGTATATTATAAATATTATAGTAATTTTTGATCATAATTCTTGTATATACGATTCTCATTAATTTATTTAAACAATAACTGTAAATGGAATAAAAGTATTAAGTTATTTCCTCCTATTTGATAACCGATTTTTAGTATAATTAAATTTGAATATATTAAAAAATTGAAAATTACAGTTAAATGTGTGAAAAACCTTGTACAAAAATGGTAATATTTCGAAACCATTTGGTATGGATTATGAGACCTTAGTATTTTTGAAATGGGAATTTATAGCAAATCTAGTGCAAGAAACCAATATACTGGGTGTTGCAGCGGCATTGGAAAATCAAAATGCTGTTTAACCAACGTAACTTTTTCAGAAGTTGCGAAAATCTATTTATACAAAATTACTCTATTTGGCACCTCCAAATTCTTGTAAACATCATGATGCAAAGAAAACAAGGTATGATATTGTGCAGGTTTGGTCACTACATCACAGGTGATAACGGTACCATTGAGATCGGCAAGCTCCGCGCGCCAATTTTAAATCGTCAAACTGATGACACATAATAAATGTGAAAATTACTTTTTAAATGTCAAGCTCAATGATTTTACATAACTTTTGAGATTTTGTCCTAATTCTTCCCTATTTTGTTTTTTTATTAGTGGCAATTGAACAATATGGTTATTTTTTCATATTTCCTATGTCACAGGTGATAACAAAAACAGCTAAACGTAAACTGAACGAAATTGAAGCCGCTATCGATCATACCTTGTTTTCTTTGTATCATCTGTAAACATAATGTCTATGCATAATGTGACATCGAATTTCACAATGACACAATCACATTTTTGCTGGTATTTTAATTGTAGTTTTCTTTGGGCCGTATTATAAATTTTACTAATTTGAAGGTATATTGTTGCAAATATATTTTAAATGACTATACTCTGCTTTTTTTCTCAGGTAAGATTTCGACAGACGATGACAGAAGAAAAAAGCAGATGACGTCCATACCAATCCATTCATTTAACTAAAAAAAGTTTCTAATAGTTTTTAAGTAAACTATGTATGGGTTTATATATAAATCCGTCATGCGTCATCTCTTGTTGTTTTTAACCAGTTTTATTGGTTTATTAAAAAATGATCATATTTCAGTAATATTGGTTTGACGGAATGATGAACCACAAACGGACTCCGAGGCCTATGAACTCGACTTAAGATTTTTTAGAATTGTCAAGCTCTTGCCAAATTATAGGTTATAATTTTGTGTCAAATTATGTCAAATAGAAATGATAAATATTTTGCATTTTCGACTGTATTATTTCGTGTGTTTCGTGTATTTTAAAATTAAGTGGAGGAAAACTCAAGGTAAAATTAAGTATTGACCCAGACCATAGTTTACAGTTAATATTCGGTGCCCAGAGACCGCCAGAGACAGTTTGCCAGAGATTATGGCCAGAGAGTTGTATTAGCCCCACAAATAAAGTTTGTATACCATCTCGTATATGGTACCAAAAACTGGAGTTAATTCAGTGGAAACAGTTAATACAGTTTAAAACTGGAGTTACATATCTCTAAAATAGCAGCACACGATAAATTTTAGTACTGCAGAGAGATAATGTCAAAAGATACTTTTTAGGGTTTACAAAAATTAAAATCAAAGTTAATTAACCAACTTTTAAGGTATAAAATTCAGTAAGTGTTATTATTAATAAAATATTTTGTTTTATTTATTCCTCTGCAATATTATTTTTTTTTATTTTTACAGTTATATTGATAAATGTAACAATAAATGCAGGAAGTTGCTTGACCCTAAAACACGGCTTGAAAGCAGGAAATCTTTTTTATTATATTTTTTTGGTATGTGGTGTTTTTTTAATATACACTTTTGCTTGTTTTGTATTACCACAAACTGTAATTGTTTTTAATAAAATAACTCAATTAGATTTTTTCAATTTTATACAGTTTCTTTCACAACATTTTGAAGTAATCACCTGTCACTCAAATTTTAAAATACATTAATTTTCTGCTATGCGTTCCAATTGTACCAACTTATTTCTTTGTAAAATAAATTAAAATTCCTTTGAAAATAAAATGACAGAATCTATCTGTGGATCGTCTGATCTTGTCGTTGGAGAGACTGTATTCCAAATGAGACAACTTTTGCATAAAATGATCTGGGGAGATAATATTTGACCTTTCCAAAATTTACATGGGATTTCCTATGTTCAGTGTTCCGATGCACCACACTCTATAAACACCCATGCCAACAAAAAATCAGTGTAAATAAAAAGAACTATTATTACTATTTTTATTTAAATGAGTATATCACACAAAAAAGTTCAAACTTACAAACTTGTTACAAAGGGTGGTTGGGTGTGTAGTCTCGATTATTTATTTGCTGGAAAAATAGAGTGAAGTGCTAGAACGAGCTAGATCGAGCTTTTAAAGTTTCAATACTTTTTTCTCGGTCGCTTACACCGGGATAGCCCGGAACGTGTTAATGAGAACGAAAACATTTATCAAGTGCAATGTTGGAGATATTGTTTTAAGGGAAGCGAGTGTTTTAAAAATGAAAAAGTTAAATTACTTTTAATTTTTCCGAACTTAACTTCGATTGAATAAATTTGTTTAAAAACAGGATTTTTTAATTAATTATCTCTTTTGTTTATCCTAAATTCGAATTTTGAATAAACGGTGAACGAAAACAGTAAAAATGGTTCCTTAATAAGTGCACAAATCCTCGGCTTTATAACGAAAAGACGTATTTTGATTTTTGCTACTTATCAGGAGAGCAATTTAAAAAAAATCACTTACTTTATCTGGCCAATAAATGTAAAGTCTTTAATTTTTTAATAGTGTTTTTGTATTAACACTTAAACCGAGGCTCTGAGGAAATGTACTAAAGAT